CACACAATTCGTCTCCTGTTGGTCAAAACGAGACGCTTCTGTGAGAATGCTTCCTTCAAAAGGTCGAGCTCCAAATGCGAATTAAGAGTTTGTATGTATGAAACCAGCTCTTAGTGGATGATAACTTGGCAAGCCCACCAAATACACAACAAACCCTACCCGGCTGTCAATCCTACCTTGGAGCCAGCTCACTGCTCTTCAACCACTACCGTTTTCATTTGTTGTTACTGTAATTGATCCACTTTTCATCACCACACACCAACCGTTTCAGAAATGTGTCGATTTTATTACAATTCAGCAGCGTTTCGCAGATAGAAATTCGAACTACTTTTTTTATCCAGTCTTTCTTCAGTGGTTTCAAACTATTTTTTCTGTATTACTCAGCTCCTGAGCAAACGAAACTGTGCACGCATGATCTTCAGACTCGACCATTTCCATTATTTTGTCAACATTTTCGACAATTGGCCATCCGTTCCGTAGCGCTCATTTTACAACAAATTTGCCGGAATGAAATCGATGAAACAAAAATTGTGCATTATTGACTTCTCCAGTAACAGGACCGTACACACTTTACATTGTCAGTTGCGTGATTTAAGTTTTTTTCTTTTATGGCAGAAAAGTTATAGAATTAATATTTAGCATGTTTTCCTTTTGCTGGTCCGTCTTTCACATGCGCTCAAACACTACTGAGTTAAGCGATCAGCATTTCGTCATGGCCTTATTTAGTACAAGATATAATTTTTAAAGGGTAAAATTTCAAAAAAAAAAAAAAAAAAAAAATCGATCTGTTTTTCATATTTCGGTAGACTACACCTTTAAAAATAACATATTAAAATTTCAAATCGATATCTCAAATAGTTTTTGAGTTATAGCAATTTAAAGAGCAGCCGCTCGGCAGCTAGCGAGTCTCATTAGCTACGAGTGAAAACGATCATTTTATCTTTAAACGCGTTTTTCTCGAAACATCATTTTCCGAATTTGCTGCAGTGAGTACTCAAAAACAAATGATCCGATCAATATCAATTTTTTTACATGTTCTATGTATAGTTCTTCGATTTTTGATCTGATCAAAAGATTAAATTTTGGCAGCCCAAAAACGACCAAAATTTTGGATAAACTTCGACTTTTTTTAAACCTCCGCCATATTGACATATTTTGATTTTTTTTATCGTAGTTTATTTTACAGACAATATTATCTAGTGGAGAATTTTTTTTTTTGAGATTTCATCCACAGAGAAGGCCGGAATCACTGCAGCAGTGAAGAACCTTTTTTTCGCGCCGTTGGAGATCGACTATAACTTAAAAATATTTAATTTTTTTCTTCAAAAATTTCACTGTGTATTTTTGAAACATGTATAAAACTATTATTAAAATTTTGAAATAATTAATTCCCAAAAATCTCTTTTTTTTTTGGGGCATTATACTAGGTGTGCCTCTTAACGCCATCTAGCAGTACTGCTGGAATACAAGATCTAGTTCACTAAAGCCAGCTGTTGCAAAAGTAATGAATTATATTTTACTAAATATTAAATAGCATCAAATGCTTTAACTCGAGCTTCTAGTTTGGGGCATATGCACATACATTCCTTTCATTACAATATTTATTTATTTATTACAATGCTACACGCTAATAAAAACAACAAATACAGTAAATAACAATTTGCCACTTTTACAACAATTTTATAACTAGGTGTGTACATAACAATTCAAATTCATTGGCAAATATCCTGACAGGATTCTTTTGACAAATAATTCAATTTTCATTGAAAATTTTTCAAATTGGTTTATTTTATTGTTGTCATTCATCAGCAACCAGATTGTGTAAGGATGTTGTAATACGCCTATATTGTATGTTTGTAAATATGTTTCATTTGCTGCGCAACAACTGTTGAAGTAACACAAAGCGCTGTTTGTCATTGGTGGGCGTTTCGAGTACCTTATAATAAATGTTGGCACATAAAATGAAGCTGGAAGCTTGCTACATTCTATTGACTATTAGTTTTCTTCTCTGCTATCGATTCAGGAGCAATGCTTGTAATTTCTTGAAGAAAAGATGTCTATGCCAAATTTGTTGAATGCCGTGAATGCACCATGTGTTTGATTCATTAACACACATGCACACACACATACATAATTTCCCCTTCTTTTGATCTGATTTCACTTAATCACCCACTATATGTTTCTATTATTTTATTTTGTTACCTCTTCTCGCTCTTGTTTTTCTATATGTTATTAATTCAGTCTGTCTGTCTTTGTTCTGCACGCGAATTGTTGATGTCTTTGTATTTTTGTACTGATTTTAAAACAAACCTTAAGTCAGTATGAACGTGTGTAGTACAATTATAAGGATCCGCTAGTACATTTTGCATCGAAATCCTTTCAAAGTATCCATCCACAACTTTAGGAAGTATTATAGGTGCTCCTTGGCATACCTTACGATAGAGATGCGTTCAATAAAGCCCATCGGAGAGAGTTTATATATCCACGAAAACTTTCTGGCAAAAAAAAATTTATTAAAGAACATCATGTTGGCAAAAAGTAAGGTGCATTTGTTTATGAAATTAAAAATCATTATTTATTCTTCTACATCGATCTTGTCGCCTCCAAAATAGTCCACTGCGGATGCAATGCACTTATGCCAACGCTTTTTGCAATTATCGAGGCACGTCAAATAGTCACGTTCTGGTATGGCCTACAGAGAGCGCGCCGATTCACAGTTAATCTTCTCAATCGACTCAAAAAGGTGTTCTAGTCTTCGAAATTGCTTCACGCAAACGACGTATAATAACGCTTAACGGTCGCCGAGAGAGGTCTTTACTCTTCAGTTGCATAATTAGTCCAAAGCAGCTTCTGTTATTCTGGCTGACATTATTATTGGTGTTAATGCTGGCCCCTAGATATACGAAATTATCTACGACACCGAAGTAATGACTGTCAACAGTGACGTGAGAGCCGAGTTGCGAATGCGATGACTGTTTGTTTGTTTCTTGTTCTCATGCACTACCAGACCCATATCTTTCCCTTCCTTATCCAACTTGGGAAAGTAGCATACTCTTATAGAAGCTTCTACCTACTCTACTCAGCTCTTCAGCTCGTTATATTTTCTCCAGCAATAAGCTAAAAAAGTCAACGATAAATAGTCATCTTTTCTGAAACCTCGTTTCGTACGGCTCGGAGAGGTCATTTCCAATGCTGTCTGCGCTTCTTGCGTTGTCCAGTGTCAGCTTACACAGCCGTATAAGTTTTGTTGGGATACCAAATTCATACTTAGCAGCGTAGAGGGTGCTCCTTTTCTAGCAGTCAAAGGTCACTTTAAAATGGACCAAGTAATGGTGTGTGTAGATTGGGAAAGATCTGTGAACTCTTCCAATACACACTTAAATGTCATCGGGCATGCTTTGATCCGACCGTATTTTGCAAAGAAGCTGACGCATGCACCTGATCAGTTCTTAGTCGCTGTATTCAAATAGCTCGGTCGGTAATTTATCGGTCTCCGACGCTTTGTTGTTTATTTTTGTTAGCGATTGCTATTCGGACTTCTTCATAGTCGGGTAACGGAACGTCTTTGCCATCGTCATCAATTATATTTTGGGTTTCACCATGTCCGGGTGTTACATTTTCAGTGCCATTCAGCAGGCTGGAGAAGTGTTCCTCCAATAAATTCAATAGACTCTGGGTATTCGTCCTCAGAGAACCCCTCTGTGTCCTACAAGCGACACTATATGTTATTATATTATTTTAGTTTATATTTATGTATATATATTTATATAATATATTTTTTAAATTTTTTTATATAATATTTTCAATTTATTATTTAAATTGATTTTACTTTTTTTTACGCAAACGTATAAATATTTAATACGAAGCCACACGAGTTTCTCACAAAAGAAAATTACAACAATCGCGCCTATTAAAAGAGCAATGCAGAGCTGCAAATGTAAACTTTAAATGCCATACGCGTTTACTGTTAGAACAATATGACGATTTTCACACACCTCAAAGAGAAATGTAAATAAAGAAAAGGAACGTAACAACCTCAAGAAGGGAAACTTTGAAAGGAATAAGTCTCTATAATTTAGTTTTTTGAAGTTTTCAATATAAATTTGATCAAAATCGAATTGAAGTATGAGGTTCTTATTCAATGGGATAATCACGGTAGCGTTCTAATAAAAATCTGTGAATTCGTAGCGAGTCGTACCACTTCACATTATTAAAATTATTTGACGCAGACATTCTCCAATATTAGTTACTAAGAACTTAGAGATCACAGATATACCTCAATGTTCTAGTAATACAAATATCCTAAAAGCTCCCTTCGAATTTTACTAAAACTATATTTTCGCTCTAAACGTACGGCTCACATTTTTAAACTCAACTCTGTTGGCTAAGGAACTGCACCTGACAACGTTGCCAATTTTCCTCGTGATACGTTGCCAATTTTCCCCGTGACTTAGAGAAAAATCGTTGCCTACATTTTGGCGCAATCATTGAAAACCAAGTTTCCTCGTGACTTAGAGAAAAATCGCTGCCTACTTTTTGGCGCAATCATTGAAAGCATATTTCTCATAAAATTTTGGTTATTTTTTTTTTTAACTTTTAACTTAATCTCTAAAAGGTCAAACTACAAGTATGTGCCTAGCAATATGCATACTTTGATTTTATTGATTTTAATTTCCGATAATAAAAGTTGTAAACTACAAGTTTCGAATCTGCCGTAAACACTGCTGACTGGTTGTAAGATTCCATATTTCAAGGCTAATAAAAATTGCCAATTTTTATTTAACTTGCAATTTTTTTTATTAAAGTTCAATAATTTATATAACTTTGTGTGTTCATATATGTATATGTCTGTCGACAATATCTGCCGCTGCGCGCTGCCAAAAGTTTTTTATTACGACATTTTTATTTATTTATTTTTTGTTGCTTTTCGTAAATCTATTCATAACTTTTTCTTTCATAACCTTTCTCATTTCTTTGTTTCTTTTTTTTTCTTTTTGCAGATGTTGCTGTGGTCAGTCACGTCCAACTCATCAAACTATACCGGGCATCGAAAGTGGTTCGCCCGGTGACAACTGGCAGCCACAGAAGCACACAAGAGCACAACCCACCGATGCATATGGTACAATTGAATTTCAAGGCGGTGCGCATCCGACCAAAGCGCAGGTAATAAAGTAGGGAGATAGCAATATCGACATGTATGAATATAGGAATAATTTGTAAGTAACTATATGTGGCTGTTGCATTAGTAAATCTACATTAGGGTGGTCTAAAAAAAATTAAATAAAAATGAATATAAAAAGACGAACTTGATCTTTGGACTTAAATTCCACCCAAAATAACGTGTATGGACTTAATCAACTTACGGATCAAAGAATATGATTAATTAATTAATTAGTTGGTTGACCTAATACGTGAGCTGTCCATTATATTTTTCTGTTTAATTTGTATACAATCATTAAAATGTTTGAAATGAATGTCCATTTTGACAAATTAAATTATAATTTTATTTTTTTTTGCCCTCCCTAATGTATGAAAATCCTGCAATGTAGTCGCATGCATGTATGTATGTGGTAATACTTAACTTTAATAGTAAATCGATGCTCGTTGTTGGTGTTGTTGATGTGGTAGGAAATATCAATATTGGTATACTCGCCCAGCAATGTGTGCAGCCGTTGGTAGGTATTCAGTATGTACTCATGAATGTGTCTATCTTGGCAAATGAAACTTGGAAAATACATTAACCTTCAGGCCACAAACAGGTGTTTGAGCTCACGAGGTCAAAAGTGACCCTGTGGGAAATTCTGAAACTTTATTCAAAACTCTCCGTTGTACTTTTCTAGGAGCTTTGCACTTTCGAGCTGGTTTTGGATTTTATGTCGGAGTTTGTACTTTTAAGTAACAGTTCATATCGTTTTTTAGTCTAGCAAACCTGACTTGAGGAATGATGTTGGAAGGTGCTGCAGATGAATAACTAAATCGTGTGAAACCTTGGGTCACGGTTAAAGGAGAGGCAGCCTTAGTGAGGCCACTTCAACCTATCAGTTGTAAGGGTTGTAAGGGTTCACGAGATATGAGGGCTTACGAGGTATGGGGGTTCACGAAGTAGGTGTGGAACTCGGCTTTGAGGCAAGCGAATGTGTGCCGATTTACCTACTTTCTCGCGTAGCGAATTTTGTTCGCTGGTTTTAGGGCACGTCACGTAGAAACTAGCTCCGATTAGAAAGAAAACAAAGCCTTAAATGAGAGCCCTTCTTTTTATAAGATCCACTGCAAACGTTTAAAGGGCCATGACTTAAGGATATATGTACATCTGTTCTCTTAATTGACAGACATTATCACCGATAATCTGGAATCGCGATGACCGGGATAAGGAAAAACAGCAGCTATATATGAGAGCGTACATTTGGTTCCTGTTTCGTGGTGGAAAGCGACTTACTCAACCAGTCCTTGCATTATCCCTGACTGGGGAATAAAATGATTTAACCAAAGAAGCTTCTTTACAAGCGCCTAAAGCGTACTTATGAGCATTGCGGTGCCACCATGGCAACCATATGCTTGACGACCTAAAAATCAGTATGGTTAGAGATGGTTTCTTCGGCACAGCAATCGGAATATTCAGCCTCAATGTCTGATCGACTTCGTCGATCTGTAGTACTAGAGTCTGAATAAGGAAAATTCATCAAGTTATTTAGCTCTCACTTGATTGATACTGCTGTGGTATATAGACGATATAGCACCAGTACTCTAGATGTGCGTTCCCGCCGAGAACTTAATATCGACCCGGACCCTTACGTTGAAATATTGTAGCAAAGATACACATCCGCCTCTACAAAGGGAAGTTTGAACATCGAAAAGCAGCAATCACAGCAGACAGCCAAACGGTTTCCTACACGACAAGTCGTACTGCTTTCTTAGAGCAATTACCAGGAACTCGGTATAAGTGAAACGGCAAGTGTGGTTTCGGGCCTACGAATATCGAGCGCAAACCTCTCCATGCTGGCGTCGGACAACTAGACGGAACAGAGCCACTATGGGCAAAAAAAGCTACTTTCGATAACTAATTCTCGTTGCAAGCCTTCCGCCTATTGTATGGGTTTCAAACAAAGGTTGGTGCTACCAAGGCAGCGATGGATCCACTGCTTAAAAGATTGGTTTCTGTAAGATGGTTACGTAGTCAAGTGGCTTTTGTCATTTTCTCTGTACCATCGAGCTCTTAAGCAATCAATCAATCGCTATGAGTTCTCAGTAGTGATAGTGCGCCGTTCCGCTACTGTCGGCTAAGCGTTGAATAGATAATCTCTGTCATAATATAGTCCTTGAGCGAAATTGGCCATGAGGAAGCAAGAGTATGTGCAAAGTGCAACCCGGAAGATACTCTTCCTTGCTGCTCAAAACCCACGAAGTCACGCTGCGCTCCTACACAATCATCACTTTCTCTCTGATTAAAGAGTGGGCTAGGATACATATATTTGGTAAATGTGTATGATATGGTATCCGTAGGACCTGCCATCTCAACCTAATTTGACCTCAACTAAGTCATGCTCATCAGCGCACTCATCTCTCTACCGGGTAACAACCAATCATATGCTTTTCCCTGTATTCTAAGAAAACCAACTGTAATTTGTTATATCTCCGAAACTTATTGCGAAATCAACTATACAATTTGTACACTTACAGCTAAAGTTTTTTTAGTGCAACTTATATTGGTAACATACTGAGCGTAGTTAACGGTACATATTCCGCTTTACTCACTTCAAGTATGCGTGCGTAGGTGATGTGGCAGCTCAATACTTACACACACGTCGCCCACACATGCTCCGGCTATTAAAGTCGTGTTAAGTGCTTTTCAACTTTCCTATATTATTTAAGACATAAAGTTTATGAAGACTTTTTTCTCAGTACTCACCTCACACCACTCATTATTTACTAGGTGTGTGTGTGTGTGCCTGCTGATTGCAAGCTGCTGAGTTGTATGATGTATGTATGTTGGTGGGTATTTAAAGTTTTTCCATTGGTGGAGAATCTCCTATTTGTATTTGAACTTAATTGCACTTTGATCTACTTAGTCTTAGTTACCGTTATTTAATTCTCAAATATGTATCTGGTTAAATAAAAGTATTGACCGAAATCAAATAAGAAACTCTTTCCTTCTGTTTGTTAATAGAATTCTTTTGGAAAATTTCTTTGGAGTTTCGAAAGTTTTTTTTTGCTCTTTTCTTTGAGTGGGAATATAAAAAAGGACGAGTTTTCTTACTTAACTTGTGTGACAGTCAATCTCTTATGCATCCTGTTCTACGCATTATTATTAAGTTTACTTTTACGCAAACACACACATACACATTATTTGTTAATATATTACTTGCCTTCTTTTTCTTGTATTTCCATTTGACAACAGTATGTGCGTTTGTCCTTTGATACACGACCGGAATTGTTGGTGCAACTCTTTACCAAAGAGTGGAATTTGGAATTACCAAAACTTTTGATTACAGTACAAGGTGGCAAAGCGAATTTCGAACTGCAGCCGAAGTTGAAAAAGGTATGTATACAGGGAAAGAGCAGGAGAGACAGACGGAGTGGAAGAGAGAGAGAGAGAGAGAGAGAGAGAGAGACAGAGAGAGAGAGAGAGTGAAGTATGCAAAAAAAGGGTAATTTTTTGGACATGTGGTTTTCAAGAAGAAATAAAACAAGAAATAAAACTACTGCAGATCTATGATCTCAACTTTTTTTGCGTCTTAACAACCCTGCTCTTCAAGTAGTTGCCATTGACAGCTGCGCGGTCTTACTTGCATTCTCATAAGACGCTGCTTTCGCTCATTTTTCGATACGAGCATAGGCTTCAACTGAATACTGTTGAATGTTTTCCCGCACTCGCTTGATTTCTGAGAACTGATTGCCGCGGCGGGGCCGTATGTCAGTAATAATGTGCGTCAAACGTCTCGGGGTTACCGCTGTAGTTGAGCGACTTCACTAAACCGCACAGATCACCGATCCGCGCCACGAGATAATCCGTTCACGAAAAGTTTTTTTCAATCAATGAACAGTTTCCTTGGTTGCATGGCATGCAGTGCCGTCTTGTTGGAACTTGAAGTCATCTATATCAGTATTTCCCACATCAGGAGAAAACCAGAATGTCATTACTCATGACCACAGTGACTCAATAATGGCTTGAAGATCATTACCACCTCAAAAGCAAGAACTTGGTCTATTGGAGTATCCATTCAATCGAAAGTAAGCTTCATCGCTGAAACGAAAATTCTTGTTAAGATCGAAAGCAGTAGCCGCCTCGCTTCCGGCCTATTCAACGAACGTACAATGCGCTTCTTGCACGAGTTTTTCTTTGCAAGCCTGAAAACCAAGATCTTTCCAGAAAATCTTCCATTGGTGGATAGTCACAGTTCCAATTATTGCACAAGCCAGTTCAAGCGAGTCTATTTCGATACCATAGCGTCCTCGGTGCGCACCGTACGTCATATCTGAGGATGCGCATTATACACTAGTGTAAAACGTTTCGCAACCGATCCCTGGTTGCACGAATCAACGACTCTGCTGGGTACCGAATCTTTGAGGTAGCGGACGATGAGCCGATAAGCGAACGAACCAATGCATTGGTTTGCTAATAAATTAGCACGATTTGCAAACTTCGTTTCGAAGTGAGTCTTTTCATTATGGAATGGTAAACCAAATTGAGAAGAATCAGCGAAGAGCAGCCCAAAAACCCAACTACGAAAAAAAGTATTTTCCAATTGAAAGCCACACATCTGAAAAGACACCCTTTTATAATGCAATACAACTGGGACTACACTCAATTTTCATAACCGAAAGTTTCTGGCTTAATGAACAAGTATTCTCTTCAAAATTTATAAAATAACACAAAAGACACAAAGGACTAAAGCGTATCTTTAGTAACTTCTTTCTGTTGAAAAACTTACTTCAAAGTATTTGTAACGCTTTTTAAGTAAAACTACTTCGAAAAACAGCTCCATAAAGTATGCCACTTTTGAGCACTTCAGAGTCGGCGTCTTCAGACAGCGTGCTTATCGAAAGTCTGCATTTCAATGTATGTAGTATACATTTAGGTGTAAAATATTTTCAATTGAATACAAAGCCTTAAAAGTTTTTTTAAATATTTTTTTCTTTTTTTTTTCTTTTAATGATTTTTAGGAAATTCGCAAAGGTCTTTTGAAAGCGGCAAAAACGACAGGCGCTTGGATATTCACAGGCGGCACAAATACAGGTAAGTCCATTCAGTGAAGTTAATTCAATACTTAAATACATCGCACAGTGGTGTTAATATGGTAGAATGACAAAGCACATATATGTATAAGTACATGAAAATTTTGTAAGCAAGCCTCAAATTTTTTTTTGAAAAAAGAGAGTAAAATCATTTGGGAAATCTCGTGTTTGCCACTTCAAACTTATTTGCCTTAGAAAGAGAATTATTGTATGTAAAAAATTCATAAAAATTTGTACCGAATTTCAAGTCTTAACGTAAAATTTTTCATTAAAAAAAAAAGTTAGGGTTAGATCTGGTTGTGGGGGCTACCGATATTTCGCAACAGTCATACTTAGGCAGATTTTGATGCCAAAAAACTCGAACCATTTCGATTCTGTCAACCGCCACTATTATCGGTAGACCATTCAGCTTGATGGCTCCAAAATTCTGAAACCTAGCATCGCGCGAAGCAGGATATCGTTTACTCCTTCTTCCTGTCATACTTACAGTTCCTGCAGTATCCCTTTCGGGAAGCCCTTAGTCAGTGGCCTGTCAGCACTCCTATTACTTTGGACATGTGCCTTCTTTTTGACTCGTGACTCTGATTCAATTTGAGTAGGTGTGGCTGGTTTTACGGCAGGTTGTAGTTTCGTTCCAACTGGACGTCGTTTGTTCATATATAAATGCCTTAAGAGAAGTTTGCAAGTGATCAAAATCATAACAATGCGTTCTCTCTTGTCCAGCGAGTTTGTCCTGTTTTCAACTGAATGCCTCTATAACCAGGCACCCATGTGAGAGACAGTTACTTCTGTGCCGGCAATAGTCCAGCACAATTTAGGGATTTAGTGTAAAGGACCCCAGTGCTCTCATTGCTGCTTGAATCTTGACAAAAATTAAGGTTTTTTTCTTATCCTTAAAGCTGATTTTGAAATATACACGGGTACATGAAAAGTTTAGAAAAGAGTTATTGGTGGAATTCTCATTCAGGCTGTGGCAAAGAAGCAGGCAGCCGAAAGAGAAATCCACCACCAACTCTGCCCTAAAATTTTCATCCATCCGTGCATATTTGCAGGCTGCCATCCGGAATGTTATTAATATCCATTAACTCCTGCTGGGGACTCGCAATCTGAAGAAATTGTCAGTAAATGTAACTGAATCGCATCGATCTGTACAGCTTTGTATAAAATTACATTCTTCCTTTTTTCGAGTGTGCCAATAACTGAGTGATTCATTGTCTTGACTCTCTTAAGCGAAGTGCAGCCATTGTTGCTGACACATATATCATCCGGTTCACTGGCAATGTATTGAATATGAGGTTCTCTTGCCGTGCTACTCAGTGTACAGCTGTTACATATTTACTCAGGAAATTAGCGTTTAAAGCTTTAGTTAAAGCTGGGCACCAAACAATCGCTCCATAAAAAAGCGACGGTGTTACTATTGATACGTCGATCCATGGGAAATTCCTTACGCTAAGGCCACATCTTTCTTCTGTTGCTCGTTAGCATGAATACAGACAGATTAGCCAGCTTATGTTACTGAGCTTTGTTATCTCTCTAGTTTAGTCTTTTTTCTAAAATAGCTCCTAAAAAATTGTCCTTCATCCTCATACCGCAAGTGGGCGTATCTGAGCCATAAAGCAGGTTCGTTGTGCTGACACACATAACCTAACGATCGATTAAATAAACTGGTTTAAGTTCAAGCAACCTTGTGTGCCTATCTCCATAAAGTTGGCTCTGTGTGCGGGGTGAAATAAGTGATGTTTCTATTTGGCATGGCAAGTGCTACCATCGAATTCCCTCCTTCCCGCTAAACTTAAATTTTTTACTGAATCATGTTCAGCCAGGGATTCGTTTATAATGATACCCTGGATAGCTTTTAATTTTAGCCACAAGAATATTTTCGTAGCTTAGCATATATATATATATTCGAACCAATAAATATTGATCTTTTGCTTAAGCGATTGCAAACAAAAGTGATTAAACTCAATCGACATTTGCCCCGGAGCGTACAATTTATGTTTCCATATGAGATGAACGTAAAAGAAGTATTAGTTTCGTCAAGCTTGGAGCTCGGTTGTTCGTTTACGCTTTGTCCTTTTTGAGCACTCCATGAACTATCGGACGTCCACAGTCAGCACCCTCGCTAAGTCACTTCTATTCAATAAAATGTTTTCCTTTCTGTTAAGCCATTCCAATTGTAGATTGACAATATGCAACTATATCTGCAAAGTAGCTGCTTTATGCTCTCAAAATCTTCACAAGTTCCGTGTTTGAGGTCTTGAATCGACGTAAACCTGTTGGCATAGACCAAAGAAAGAAATCGCAAGGTGTTAAATCAAAAGATCTTGGTGACCAACTGCGATCACCTCTTTGAGAGGTCACTTAGTCTGGAATATTTTCCTATAAAAGATCGTTGGTTTTGTTGTTTGTGTAGCACTTAGCCACTGTCTTGTTGAAAGTAAACCTTGTTCAGCTAAATATTGGATGAGTGCATAAGTTCGTGCCCGATTTCAAGTGCTAAAAAAACTAAAATTGAAATTTTTTGAAGAAAGCGCTTTTATTAATCAATTATGTACTCGCCATCATGTTCGGCAATCCACTCCCAACGTTCAACCAATTTACGGATGCCTGATTCATAGAAATCGAATATCTTTAGTTGCAGCGCCTATTGTTTTTCCTTTGCGGAATTCGTATAACAAAACATGACGCAAATGATCTTTTTCGTTGTCCATCTTCCATGCGTCTTTTCACTAAGCAACTCAAATCAAAACGAAGTTATTTTATGCTTGATTTACAGTTCGGACTGTCACCTTTCCAACGATATATAATATGTATATATTTCTTTCACGAACGCCACTCTCAAACGATTCGAACGGCATCCAGCGGAATCGGGCACGAACTTATGCACTCATCCAATGTCATCCAACTCCGGCCATAGCAATCATTAATCATCACTCGATAGCGTAATTTATTCGATGTTACTGTTGTTCCAGTCTTATTTTCCAAAAAGTACGGTCTTCAGGCTGCACTGTAACATAAGCTGTACTAAACAGTTACATGTTGAGGATGCAGAGGCTTTTCAGCAATAAACTTATGGTTAACTGGAGACACAGTTGCAACCGTTTCGCTTATTGCCGTAGCCATCGAGGTGGAAATGGGCCCAATAAATCAAGATGATTCTTCAATGAAATTGTGGTTCATTTTCATGCATTTCAAGCACCCTGGCGGCTACGGTAGCCAAGTGGTTAAACATCAAAAAAGTTATAGAAAATGAATTAAAATACAAAAATTAGGTTAAATTTTCTACTTGCGATGGGCCCTCGGCTGGAAATGAAATGTCTACTCCTCCGAGTGTATTTCTGACATGAAATAAAGGTTCCTCATAAAAACCGTCAGCCGTTCGGAGGCGGTCGGTCCCTTCATTTGTTGGAAAATCATCCAAACGGAAGAACCAAAAACTATAAGATGAGTGCGGCAGAAAATCGCTTCAACGGTTACAAAGCGTCAGTTATATAATAAGAAAAGAAACGACATTTTTGATGATCGGTCGGCTTGAGTTCTTGTGTTAACTGAACTTTATAAGCCTTAAGACCCAAGTCTGTGTGTGATTTACGGTGTAATGATGTTTTTGGAATGCCAGGTTCCAAAGAACGACGAGGAATAGACAAATCTAAATTTTCTTAAACACTTTGGGCTACTGCAACATTATGCTCAGTTGTTTTTGAGCGACGTGCTTTATTCCTCGTATTACGAACTCGTCTCTACCTCCATACCCTACCCTAGCTCCATTTTTTCCACTTTTTAATTTTACGAGCCGACTCTGGCAACATTCCTATTTTATTATTGCCGTCCACATTTGGGTTTGCCAGATTAAACGTGTTTCCGACTTCAATACTATTTTTAGAAAGTTCCGTTAGGTTTGCTGAAAAGCCCGTTTCCAACGTGAAAAGTTTGGACATTTTAGGTATGATTTTGGCTACTTTTTCGCAATTCGTTTTTGATACATTTTATGATTTTTGTCCTGTGTGCGCAACTGTTGTAAATTATTTGCTTTTTTGTTTAGTTTTCGGTTATATGAATTCTTCGTTTAGATCGATCTGCGGGTTATTCAATTAAATGATTCTTATTGTGGCACAAATATTTGCTTATACATTTGTATTTCGATGAAATGGCAAGAAGGAGTTTGAAACCTAAAAAATTTGATTGCTTACCATTTTCCTTTGCTGCTTTGTAAGAGACTAAATTGAATTGATTTTTCTCAATTTTTCATTACGTTTTTTTGGGCCTCTGTAATTTATTATAATCAAAAGAGAAGCAAAATATATTCTGACATGTTTACGTCAGCGCTGGCCTTGCGGATTAGGCATAGCAGAGATATGCCTTAAGTGGTATTACTTTTGTCTGCGTATTTATTTACAAGGGCTTAGCCAAGACACACTTACTTGTTGACTTCAATTGTTGATTTGCTGCTTAACTCGACTGTCTTTTGTTGCAGAAGCAACAACAAAAAGAGGCTATCGATGGCGTCAATCTAGACGTTAACGCTTTAAGGCCTTTCAGCATCAAGCATCGAGCATCAAGGGCTTCATTGTCATTTCACCCATAGATGACTACTGCGATAACCGGCTTTGTTGCTTTATTTACATTTGGGCAGCCTTATAGTGTTGGAATAAGTTTGTTTATATTTAAATAAAGCAAAGCCATTGCTTTGCTATTTATTTTTTCATTTAATTTTTTTTTTTATTTATTTTTGTTTTGTATTAAGGCATCAGTACAACTCTTCGTGCCCCTGTTCCAATTGTTTGTACAGCCCAACTCAACTCATTTGCATACGCTTTCTAAATTACCGTTAGCGTTGAGGAGGGTAGCTCATTACAAAGATTTAAATCCGCGCTGCAATCTCCTCTCTGCTTGTGTGTATCTAAATCGTTTTCTAAGAATTTACTGTCGTTCATCTGCCTGATTTCTTACGTCTTTTTATATTTATTTTCAACTCCACTCACCCTCACTCGCATGCTCTCTTTCTCCTTTCTTTGCAGGTGTTACAAAGCAAGTGGGTGATGCATTGCTGCTCGAGGGTCAACAACGTAGCGGGCGTGTTGTCAGTATTGGTATTGCCCCCTGGGGTATTGTGGAGCGTAATCATGAACTTTTGGGGCATAATCGTGAGGTGCCCTGCCACAGCATAAGTTCGCCAAGGTGAGTTTATGGGTGGAAAAAAAAAGTGAAGCTACTTTAAATATATGCATATATATGTATGTATGTAAATACATTGCTGTTGGGCTCAAAATCGTTTGGGTCCACCGCATTCGGTAAGCGTTTGGCTGACACATGCCAACTGACATCAGCCACTGAGACCCCAGCCTCCATTTACATATTCATGAACTTGACGAGTTGTGTGGTTGGTTGGTTGGTTGGTTGGCTGGTTGGTGCTTCGTCTGTATCTTGCTCGATTTGAATTTTGAATTACCAAGTATTACAAAGTGTTGCGCATGTAACACCACCAACCAGTTGCTTGTACTACCGCAGGTGGTGCCCATAAATTGATGTTGGACTAGGAAACGTCATTACTCTCGTTGTGGGACTTGAAACATGACGATGTTTTCTTTTAATTTTAATTATTACTGTATTTATTATCCCTCTCTTTTTTCATGTCGTCCCTCTGCTAGATCCAAACTGGCTGTACTGAATAATCGTCACGCTTACTTCCTGCTGGTCGATAATGGCACACAGGCGAAATATGGCGCTGAGTTGATATTGCGGCGGAAATTGGAGAAGTTCATATCGAATCTGAAACTGCATCCATGTAAGTAATATATCTATGTATGTTTGTATTTTGCCCATCAAATTCTTTATGTTTTGATTGTCCAAACTAGACAATAATTAGAAATATCCTTCTCAGAGGAGCTAGGATAAGACCATAAGTAAGAAGACATCCTTTGGGGGGAAAAGTATTCAACCACTGATTCGTAGACACTGCTGCCGAGTTAGCTGCAGCACCCCATTTGTATCTCCTCTTAGCGCTTTCATCTTTCCAAATCTGTAGAGGTCTTCTTCCCCTGCTTACACTAGCGGATATTGCATTGCACTTTTCGAAGCTGGGCTACTCTAATCAACTCGCACTATATGATCTAGTCAGCGGGGGGTAGACCCTGGGTCCCTAAACAACGTCAATGTAGCTGTATATCTGCAGTGGTCGCCAGCGCGCGAAGGACCATAAATCTACCACAAAACCTTTCTCTTGAAAACTCGACATTAGGGGTTATTTGATATGATCGTCCTTCAGACCTTCGCACCAGTTAGCATAACGGGAGTTATGAGTTGCGCGTATAGTTCAGCCTTCGTTCCGCTGATAATTGCAACATTTGGTCGGAATCTTGGAAACTCGTACACCATCCAGCGACACACCATCATTAAATCCTGTCTTAAGTCGACGACATGACACGCTTAGTGAAAGTTTCAGTCGATGAACTCGTCTTGTCCTGTATACATAGAAGTAATTCACATCTCGGTTTTGGCTAAAAGACGGAGAACTTCTCGGCTGGTGAGCTGCCAGACACTACTGCATTATCTCATTTACCAAGCGAACAGTGTGAGATGATTATCGAAAAGGCTAAGCTCTCCAATAGGTTCCACTGATTCTGAAACTTGAAAGCCCGCCACACTTTGGTGGTTACTGGGCATCACAAGGATACTTGTGTCACATGAACATGTCTTCCGTAAGTATCACGCTCTCACCATTAGGACTAGAGCCAGATAAGTTGTGGTCTTTGTGGTTGTACAAACACGACTTGAAAAGTTTTCAACGCGATTGACCATTAACCAACGAAAATAAAAAATGACCGAGGGTTATTGGCTATGAGTCCCTACCTGGCAGAGAATGCAAGCTCATCGAATACTATTTGTATCATAAAGTGAAGAGCTCCTTATAAATATACTTTAGCTGTCTTGAGGCGGCTCATAATAAGCTACAGATTTCTTCATTTTTTGGAAGAAGCACAAACTAGAGGTGGACGTCGGCAGGAGAATGTGAGGAAAACCTTGGAACGTTGCTGTTGCCATACACGAAAATCGTCGCACCAATCGTAAGCTACATAGTACCAAGGTAAGCATTGGGGACTGTTAAGGTGAAGCTATAGAAATTTGACAATTGAGACTTAATCCCAGCAAAACCGAAGTATTGATACTCTTGCTGTTTAAGCTTTTAATTATTTTCGAAGCCTCTTAAGGACACCAGCAGGCACTTTGGCTTAGAGGGAATCGCATAACCTTAACCAAGGAACTTAATTAAGGATTGATATATGCTTCACGTGAAAACAGAGAGAGTGTAGTCTCGGCTTTTGCCGAGTTTTGCCTTACCAGTTAACGTCATAAACATCCAAATAAACTGTGGTTCTGTCCAGAATGAACTTGTCTGGCCCCTATTTGGTAGAAGAGACACTGTTCCGGAGTATTACTATTTTGGTTGAAACAGCGGCGCTGAAGCGATATTCGGCCGAACTCCTCCTCCAATTTGTGTCTTGAATGTTTTTCCAACACATGGTCCCCTCAGCTTACAGCTTATCCTAAGCCACCTCCGAACGCCCGATAGATTTTTATGCGGTACATTTATTTGATGTCAGAAATATTCCATGTCTGGAGGTGACCACAAGAAGAACAATTAATTTTGATTGTGGGTCGTACCAGAACTCGAGCCCTGGCTTTCCTAATGGCAGTACGCATTACAAACCACGCCGGCAGATGATAATGATCTACCTATCGATTACTGCTTTGGATGTTCTTGCATCCATCTAGTCGGACTACTATATATCTGCGCCATAAAACCTCTGTTAGAACGGAATACTCAAGCCGAAACATTCCGAAACTTCGATAAGCTGCAAACTCTGTCTGAGAGCAGCATTTATTAAGGAGAGAGAGAGGGTTGTGGCATGCCAGTTTTGTTCTTTATCCGTTCGTAAACCAATTTACTTTTATAAACTTGAAAGTCGATACGACGAAGAGTCACCTGCATTGCAAAGGGTTTCCATAAGTGCCGGAAAACTTACGAATCTCATCGAGCTCTGACTTTTTTGAAGCGTTAGGAAACCCAATTTACGTTTTTAATTCAAATCAAATGTAAATATATCCAAGAAGAAACAGTAAAAAGATCAAAAAAATACTACCAAATGGACAATAAATTGCTATTTAATGCTCCGACTCAGCGAGCATAAATGTTTTAGGCAAATATATATATATTGGCAGCCAAGTAGTCAATTGTTCGTCCATTTGAATGGATTATTTTTCATAAAATGACAGATGTCGTACGGAACGTTTCTACTCCGCCGCTCTCATAAATACAGCCATAGAGGTAGCTACTTATTTTGTGAAATACGGAGAGTACCCATAAGCTCTCACATTTTTCTCTCATACTGAATTGCGCGTGGACGCGTGTGTGCTTGACTGCGTGTGGTTTTATTTCCTTTCCAGGTATGCAATTTCATTTTCGGTAACCACAAGTGACATTTCCATCTACTTTCTGGCTTACGAAACCAACCAAGCGGTAAATCAACTTAATTTAAAAAATAAAAGCAAACAAAAAAGCACAAACAATAACAAAATTATATATACGAATATATGAAAGCTTCTCTGGTACGAATAAAATTGTAGCTGCGGAGGAAAATTGCTGCATTCGCACAAATAGATGAAATCAATTTAAACGAAAATCCCACTTTAACCAAGGAAACTACGATTGAAGGTACACATGCTCCATTCTATATGAATCATGTATTTATAAATGAATACGAATAGCTAGAAAAACTATATATATAAACACTTTAGAGCAACTACAACAGGTACTCAGGTGAGCCACGTTCATGCGGGCAGGTGAAGCAAGAAATCCTGCTCTTGCTGAATAAAAGTCACAATAAAAATTAAATGACGTAGAAACTACGATAACGACAAATAAATTTGCTGCTCCACAAAGCTTAAAAGTTCTGTGGCTGAGATTAAAGTTTTGAAAATGACGATAGCCCATCAAGGGTTTTGGCCCATCAAGGGTATTGGTTTCAAAGGTTTTTGATTATTCCTTTAGTTATATTTTCCTTATTTAAGCTTGCGTGTTAGACCTTAAGTGGTGTTTAAAAGGCGATGTAAAAGTTTTCGACATTCTTTCGGCGCCGATCTCCGAGCACTGGGAGATCGATTACGACTTGTTTTCGACCTTTCGGTTTCTTAAATATTCCTGCATAACTCGTTCGGAGTTTAAAAGAGCTCAACAGCATTCCTATCGACCGAAATTCCAAGCACTTAGTGGCGTCTCCTGACACTACGGTAGAGGGTCACCAACCGATCGATGGAACCTATTAACGTTCTGTTAATGAAAAGGACTCCTCAGTGCCGTTCCCTCTTATTCTTAACGTTGTGCATCGTTATGCCGCTATGCTTCAAAAAGATTGATATCAGTCATGATTTTGTTATAGATGATCAGCTGTATGGTCTTTTTCACCAAGAATCATGAGATATCCATGTACCTACCTATCATTTAATGGCATCAACCAATATCACTTGGTTTTGTCCCTTCATTAAGTGCTTTTTTGTCATGATTTAGAAAGTCAGAGACTTCTCGAAGGGTTGCGATTTTAATATCACAATATGCGTGAGAGCCTACGGTTTAGATCGAGACAACGCAGCATTTTATGTGGCCAAGTACTAGCACTTCTGGGGCATTCCCTGGGAAGCAACTTGAGAGTACTTTCCGAGATTCCAGAAAAGTCATGTGAATCACCAACATTCAATTGTCCCTTGATTTCATTACGAATTAGTTCTGAAAAAGACTTATTAACGTCTCACCGAATAGGATTTTTGAAGAAGCAACTCCGAAGCTTGGATCCTTACGCACTGACTGAATGACTCAGAACCACAGCACGTTTCAGTGTCGTTTCTAACTCCCGGAACTGTTCTGTGATCTGCTTTGTATCGTGTCACAAAAGTGCTCCTTATAACGAAAGCAGCACCCTAAGGCCGTTTCCCGCGCACATCCCTCAATAAAGTGGGGAAGCTCAAAAAATTAATTCGCACGAGACCAAGCAGAACACAGAATAGTATAAGGGAAATCACCTTGTAACAGAAGTCTCTCTCAAAAGTTCCTCCTTGCAAAGCCATTAATTACTGGCAGGCATTATCAATTGGTATCTACTTCACTCAGCACTCGCTCTCATCATTGGCAATGAAGCGGAAAAATTCCATATCAAGTTCATTTCCAATGAAAGCCGCATTAAAAGCGCAACTCGTACAGCAGTCAATGCAAATATTTTTGCCATTATGGCATACATACAAACATACATACAACCGCAAAATGCATATCTCTCTGTGGCATATTCTCGTATTTGTCACCGCTTGAAGGACTTCGCCTGTCACATTTGCAACTCCATGTTCTGATGCGTTGCGTTGCGATGTGATGTGATGTGATGGGCTTTCGTGCTGCCACCACTGCCGCTGCACGCAGTGACAATGAGCCATCGAACAATGGCACGCAACAGGGACACATGGATGCATCGTCTGCACACATGCATATGTATGTCATGTCAAACAGACAAACAAATAATCAGAATATGACAGTATTTGGCTTGAATATGTCATCGGGCATAATAAGTTGCTCGCTGCTGAGTGATATGAGTTTAAGCAGGAAAAGCGAGTGTAGATGGAATTTTTCCGCTTGTCTGGTCAACGTTGCATTTAAGTGTATGTGGGTTAAGCAAATTTGCGTCTGTTGCTCACATAATTGCTCTTGACCGTATTGCAATGAAGCATTTCTGAAGGAAGAATGTGGTAACAGAGATGGAGAAGCAATTCGAGATATTTTGGAACTGCAATGAAAAAAAAAATAATGACAAATATATTAAAACAAAATAAAAAACAAATTTAAAAAAATGTAAGCAAAATAATAGTAAACAAAAAAAATAGTATAAAAAATAAGAAATAAACAAAAAAATAAATAAATTAATTAAAATTAAATTAAACTAAGATTTAAATTAGAAAAAACACAAGTGCAGNAAAGAGAAAATAAAATAAGATGCAATAAAAAAATAAAATAAAAATAAATGAAATAACGTAAATTAATAAGAAATAAAACAAAATAAAATAAAAGAAAGTAAAATGAAAAAAAAATTAAATTAAATTGAAATAAAAAATTCATACAAATTAAAATAAAATAAATAAATTAAATAATAATTAAATAAAGCAAACTAAAATAAAATACAATAAAATAAAATAGAATATAAATGAAATAAAATAGAAAATAAAGTATAAAATCGGAAAAGAAAATGGAAAATAGCTTAAAACTAATAAAACTATATGATAAAATTAAGTAAAATATATTTTATTTAAATCATTAAATTAAAATAAAGAAAAAGATACAGTAAATTGATAATAGAATAAAAAAACAACAAAGAAAAAATTTAAAAAAAATAAAATAAAATATAAAATTCGTTAATTTATTATTATTTATGATTAAAACTGCATAAAAGTAAAAAAAAAAACAGTTAATGAAATGAAACAAATACTAATAATAATAAATACAATACCATAAAAAAATTAATAATAGTGAAATAAATTAAGCTATATAATAATTATTGTTAATTTAAAATAAAATAAAGAAATCAACTGAAACTCAATAAAATGAAATAAAAAATAAAAAATATAGTAAAATAAACGAAATAAAAGACAATCAAAAGAAAGATAGTAAGAATTAATAAAATGATAAAACAAAGTAAAATGAATTTAAAAAAATATTAGGTAAAAATATGAAAAACATGTTAAATAAAAAATATTGAAAACAATTAGTCTATAATGATCTAAAGTTAAAATTTAAAAAAATGTATATGAAAGCGAATGCTCTTCGCCTTTCCTATATTTGAGGACATCCTCGTAAATACTCTCTCCACAATACTGCCCTCCTCTGAATCAACGTGGCAATTTCTGGTTGCTTTCAACGAAGTATAACAAATAAATATTTTTGAGTATTTTTTGTAAAATATTTCTTTTTTTTAAGTAAGTTTTCTTTTTGAAACAATCAACCACCTTAAGATACAATATTAATTTAGTTTTTCCCTCTCTTTCGTAGTTACACATTCCAGCACACCGGTTGTCTGTCTGGTTATCGAGGGTGGCACGAATACGGTACGTGCGGTGCTGGAGTACGTGACGGACACGCCACCAGTGCCAGTGGTGGTATGCGATGGTTCGGGTCGTGCGGCAGATCTTATAGCGTTTGTACACAAGTAAGTTCAATAACTATCATGCGTTAGCTATCAGCTATCAATAATCGCTCAGTATTAAGTAGAATTATGTTATGAAATATATATATCCACGTATACGAGCAACTGAGAGTTAACTATCAATTTCTTTGGTCATGGTCATCCATTTGGCCAATGGCAATAGACTTCGTTGCTTCTTGGGTAAAGTTTGTTAGTTATTTTTACCTTAGCTTTTCTTTTTGTCTGCTTCCTCGCACATTTATAGTGAAAGCTTCGAAAATTCCCTCTAATTGGGGTTAAGTTTTTGGCTATTTGTTGCTTCTGTTTACTAAGTGGAAACCTTAAAAAGGAGAATTGCACTTTTCTACAATTAATTGAAATATTTTCCAGAATTATTGCTCATTACCAGTGGCAAAAGAGGGTTTTATAGATGGAATTTTACCTCGTACTGATTTGCTTGTATTTAATTTCTATGAAAATAATGCAACTAATTAGAGGAGATAGTGGACCTTAAATAACAGTAATATGGGATGAACAACAAAAAATAATATAGCTAAATGAAAAAAGATAAAATAAAGCAAAAGACAGTAAGAAAAGAAAACTTACTTGCATAAAGTAAATAAAAAATTAACTAAATAAAATTAAAAATAAATCCAAAACATCCGAAATATATGATATAAAATCAAGAAAAATAAGTTGAGAGTTAAAATAAAATATTGAATAAACTAAATGAAATAAATATATTAAAATAATTATGATAAAAAAAAATAAAATGAAATAAATAAGCCAAACAATTCAATAAAAATAATTGAAATAAACTAAAATACATTAAAATAAGTAAACTAAATTTAATAAAATACTAAAAATCATAAAAAGACAATAAAATAGGAATTAAAAAATAAAACTAATATAAAATAAAAAATAAGCAAATAAGATGAAAGAATGAAATTCCAAAAAACAAATATAAAATAAAGATAACAAAAAAAAAAAAAGGAAAATAAAATAATATAAAAAAATGAAAATAAAATAAAATAAAATAAAAAATTAAGTAAAATAGAAATAAAACAAAATAAAATAAAAAAGGAGAATTATATATAAAAATAAAATAATTAAAAAGATTAATAAAAAAATTGAATAAAAAAAATAAACGAGAAATAAAGTATAAATAAAATAAAGTAAAAATAGAAAAGAAAAAATATAAATGCAATGCGAAATAAAAAGAAATGGAAAATTTAGTAAAATAAAAAATACAAAATAAAATATAGTCAAATAAAGAAAAAAAATTAAATTAAATATATAAAATTAAAAAGGAAGTAATAAATAAATTCATATTAAATATAGTTTGGAAACAATACAAAAGAAAAAAAATGGAACGAAACAAATTAAAATAAAATGGGAATAAATAAAATGAAACAAAATTTAATGAAATAAATAAATAAATAGAATTTTTAGCAAAACTAATTATTTAATTTAAAGTATAATGAAAAATAACACGAAATAAAATAAATAGAATACAAAAAAGTAAAATAAGGAAATGTAGTTAAATGAATGAAATGAAATAACAAAAAGTTAGCTAAATGAACTTAAATTAAAATGAAATAAAATGATATATAAAAAAATTATTAAAATAAATGAGATTTAAGTGTAATAAAATAATATGAAATAAAAATAAAAATTAAAATATAGTAAAAGAAAAAAAGATAAAAATTAAATATGAAAATAGAAAATAAAATGAGTCAAAATAACATATAATACATTAATAAAAAATAAAATTAAAAAATAGAATAAATAAAATTAAAACAGAACATGAAATGAGATAAAAATATAAATTAAAAAGTTAAAAGCGTTAATAGAATTTTTTGCTCTAGTTTAAGCCAATGTATGGTTGAGTTATATTGCATAATCAGAATTGTAGTTACTTACAAAATTATTCGCAATAAAAATATATAGACTTTCTGAGTTAAAGAAAAAAAAAATAATGGTTTGCTTCAAACCACAGCTGCCAAAAGTCGCTTAACTACATAACTTTCCATTCATGCATTTGCAATTCAAATTTGTCCGGTCACTTGTTAGACATTTGTACAGTTGCGGCAACATTGGCCCTTGTGGCTTACATTGCCATTTAATGTACATTAATGTATACATATCTTAATGTTTTAAGTAACCGATGACTACAAATCTAACTACTGTCTTCTGCGACTTGCAACATCAGCCAAATTACAACTGTTTAACTGTTGTTAGGTTAAAATATTTAATGTCGAAATTCAAATGATACAAACTCAGTTTAATCTCCGAAGGTTTCAGGCACTAGTTGCGTAGGTAAATGTACATAGAATGCTGTTGTTGTAACTGGCTTGTTACTCCCCTTTGTTGACCTTACTGCGTAGCATGCCTCAAATCAGCTTGACACAACACCGTCAACTTGCTGGCTAAACATTTTGCATTAACAAATATTTCCGAGAATTTTCTCTTATAACTTCTGCTGTAAGTCTGTGTCTGAGTAATTTGCCTTGTTGTTGGCTTTACGTATTTTTGCACTTTGTATTTTTGTGAAATTTGTACCAATTAAGTGAAATGAATTTTCTCACTCTATCTTTTCGCCTCGCTCTTGGTGACAGATTATGCGAGCCTTAGGAAAGTAGGTGGTAGAGAGTTGTCTTGCGGCTGCTACAGTTCGGTTGACACTTTTACTATTAGTCATGGCACCTGACGAGCTGTTGTTACCTACCTACAAAACTGTAGGATATTTAATTAAATTTTTTACACTTTTACTTGGTGTAATTAAATTAAGCTCTCGGCGGTCTTATTGGTTACTTAAAGCCGGTCAGCCGTATGTAGTGTGGAAAACTCATGCTCGAAACAAAAATTAATTTAGCGTTTAAAGCTAGAGAAATTAGCTGGATGCCTGAACTTATTATCTGTTGATGACACAATTTAAAAATTAATTTAATAACAACACTCTAAAAGAAATATATATTATTTATACTTAATATCAAAAATATATGTTCCAAAATCGTATTATCAAATTTTCTACAGAAATATAGATATGTGCGCCCTAGTTATGGAACATTTTTTCCGAAAAACAAATAATTTATACATTTTTTTTTTCGTTGCAGATATGCCTCCGACGGCGAGGAACAACCGGTGCTCGAGTCTATGCGCGATTACTTAATTACAACTATACAGAAAACTTTCGAAGTCGGCTTCGATCAGGCTGAAAAATTATATCAGGAACTTTTGCAATGCACACGAAATAAAAATTTGGTAAGTAGCTTTGATAGCGAATCAAGAAAACTCAGCTCCACTGGAACATTCATTTCAGTTTTACAGTTTTCTTCTTATTCTCGACAATTCTGTTTTATTTAAGATAAGCATAGCTAGAAATTTTCAAGGGAAATATAAATATGAAAATATGCAAACCAGATTGACTATTTTCCTTTATCTTCCTAGTTAAGAGCATTTGTTTGCACATTAGGGTGGTTCACAAGGATGAAAAAACTAAATACAAACACGAAATGAGACAAAATAATATAAAATAAAATAAAATNAATAATTAAAATTAATAAAATTTAAATAGATGTGAAAAATTAATAATTAATAAAAATTTAAGGAAAAAGAATGAACTCAAATGAAATATTTATTTTATATATAAATAAAATAAAAATTAAATACTGGATGAGTATTAATAACTGGAAGAATACTCGCCAGATATGTTGCTGCGATCAAGGCTGTTGATAAAAAAGGTATCAAAACGACAAATTTGGTCTTTCGAAGATTCCATGGAAGGGGGAAACCAAAAACGGAGATACTCTTCACATATATTTGAGAAGTCACACATACTTGCATTGAACGCAACGACATCTCTTAGTGGATATTATAGCTGCACAGGGTTGCACGTTATTTTAATTATATTTGAAATAAAATAAAATAGAATAAACCTAAAAAAATGGTAAAAAATTAATTAAAGTAAATAGAAAATAATGAAAAAACAAATTTAATTCATTTAATTGCAATTTAAAAATGATGTAAATAAAAAATGCAACAAAAAGAAATGAAATCAAAATAAAATAAAATACTAAACAAAAAATTATGAAAATTAAACAAAAAAGAAAAGCTGCGATGAGACAGGACCTATTGCTTACTTAATCCATGGTAGCACCAGGCTGATATTGTGATTTGCTGTTCATGTAATAATGGTTCCGAAATAGACGAAATTATCTATGACCGCGAACACGTGGTAAAAAGTCACCTTGTCTGCAACCACGGCTCGGAGAGGCCCTTCCCAATTCTGACGGACCTTTTTGTGTTGCTTAACGTCAGTTCATGCAGCTATATTTTTTTTATTAAGTTTTGACATAGTTGCGTAGAAACTGCTCCCTTTCGTGGTTTCTTAACAATCGCTGGTGAGGCGGGGTGTGTTGATACCCTTTTCATGACTCTGTTCCAAGATTTGGCGCAAGAGGTCATTGATTAACTTACCAGGTCTAGAGACACACTGTCTTAGTCTTAGTCTTACACATAATACTCCATAGCAACTTAAGCAATATTTCGGATTTTGGCGCCGACTATGGGATCGCCCTTTTTGTTGATGGTCTTTCTTATCTGCTCCGAATAAGTTTTGATGGGTCGATCTGTTTTATAACTAAAGTTAATAATTTTAAGTTAAATTTTTCTGCAGTATGTTGGGTTTGCTCCCAGAAACTTAGTCTAGGGAGCAGTTTTTTGCCTAGGTAACTTAAAAATTTTGTTAAGAACTATAAGAGGATGCGAACATATCTGCATCCCAAAAGATGTATTCAATCGCTGGAACTAACACCCGGGTTTTTTTACAGCAAACTCTTGACCGTGCTTGTCAAGCCGCTTTTGTATCCACGTTCGTGTGGATATGTCTCCTCAGGCGTTTCCAGACCTAACACGCCATCATCGTTGATGTTCCGCGGGTCGTGTCCGGGAACAGCTTCCTGGTTTTTGAAGTTTTCAAGAGCTGTCTACATTTGGAAATAGTAGGACTGTTTTCTAGGTAGCTCCTGGCTAATAAACATGGCTGTGATCAAATTTTTTATTTTTTTCCAAGACTTAAATCATGTCTTTTCTATGACTAGAGGAACAGTACGCCTGGCTTCCTCTTTCGGGTTCTTCGACAGTCTTTACAATGTTTTCCATCGCACCCATGGTTAATCTGTCTGGCTTTGGTGATTGGCTTTTGGACGGTGGTGATTTTACTCTTGACTCAAGTGTAACACATACAAGGTGGCTGTAGTTAAAATAATTTATTTAAAGTAATTAGAAATAAAAATTAAGTAAAAATAATAAAGAAAAATATATTTTTTTTCTCGTTTCAATTTCTATTTTTTCACATATTCTTTACACATGGCCTTATATCCTCTTCGGGTTTAACGGTACATATATATGTTTTGTGGTTTTGACTTAATGCTTCTACTCTCCTGCTGGTCACTCTCCTGCTGGCTCCTGCCATTATTTTGCTTATGCAAATTTCATAAAAATAATTGAAAAGTTTTTCTTTGCCTTTGGGGATCGTTGAAGAAATATATATATCTCCATCTAAAGTGGAAAGAAAAAAAATAAACAAATACACACACACACACACAAACAAGTAGAAAAATCGAAAGAAATTGATATTCAAGCTGAAGTTGGCATTAATTACTTTGAATGACAGCAAAGCGACGCTGACAAGTAGTTCGGAGGATTGTGTTAAAAGACCCAATGCCCTCAATTACTTTATATAAGCCTCGTCTTTCCGCAAACCCCCACCACTGCGCTGAAAAATAACTTTTGTATTTGTCGCTCATGTAATATTTTTTACTTTTTCCCCTCCTTCTCTTTACCAATTTCGATCGAACGTGCAGATAACCGTTTTTCGTATACAAGAGAAGCCCGAAGGCGAGGCGCAGGAATTGGATCAGACGATACTAACGGCGCTCTTCAAATCGCAACACTTGAGCCCACCGGAACAATTGAGTTTGGCGCTGACATGGAATCGCGTTGATATTGCGCGGAGTGAAATTTTCGTTTACGGACAGGAATGGCCGCATGGTGAGTACGATTCTTGTTTGTTTGTTTATTTCGTTGTTGCTTACGATTCTCTTTTTCCTTTGCATGCCATTTTTTTCCATTTGTGTTTTTTTGTCTTCTAATAATTTCTTTTGTTTTTTTGTCTTCCCTTAGGCGCTCTGGATGAGGCGATGATGCAAGCGCTCGAACACGATAGAATCGATTTTGTGAAATTACTATTGGAGAATGGTGTTTCAATGAAGAAATTTTTGACAATACCACGCCTTGAGGAATTATATAATACAAAACATGGTCCAGCCAATACTTTAGGGTACGTACATATGATACATATATATTATACTTATATACGTATGTATATACTTAAATTTAATTTCGTTCTAATTCTGCATTTTTGGCGGTTCCTCAGCTGGAACGTAATATGTTCAACCTTTTCATGAAGCTTCTGGGAAGATATTCGAAGAAAAGCTATGGACTCGTTGGTTAGTCCTTTTGAGTTTCAAACTAAGGAAGCCAAGTTAAAACGTTCTTTTAGTAAGAGCAGAGATTTTCCTGCGGCTCAAAATTGTCATTTCATTATCTGAAGCCTTTGATCGACGACGACTTTAACGTTATTTAGTTCTCGCTTTCAGTACTTCTTCTTTTTTCTATTTACGTACACAATAACACAGCTCTTCTTCATCTTAATTTACGTAGGTCTCACTTACACGATTATAGTTGAGTCATCAAATGCACGCCAAGGGTTTTTTCTTCTAGCTGATAATCTCCAGTTGAAAAAATACCTGAGGATGCTTTTCTAACTAATCTTCCAGCGCAGAGGAGATATTTTTCTTCCTCGCTTTAACCGGTTTGTACCGTGTGGAATAGGTTCTATTCTGCCAGCATTGAGAGAATATGTTTCTTTCCTTGCTTCCACCGGCGGGTACCGTTTTGTATACTTTCAAAGTTGGGGTGCTTTCATACTTTCCAACGGCATGATTCAGCCAACGTAGCCGGTGCCTCTCTCTCATTTACAGTATTCTGTGGTATACAAGGTTCCTTAAGTAAGATTTCGTACGGCTAATAAACCATCTATAGACTCGCTGGTCCGTTTTATTGCTAATCTTAAAGACTTCTTTAGTACTTTGAACTGCGAGGCTCCGAGATATTTAGGACGAGTAATATCTAAGACCGGAACAACACAGAAGAGGTTTTCCAACGTCTTACGCATTCCCTTTTCCTTGGACTCTCAAAATGTGCCGCTTTTCTGTTGAAAATTCGAAATGTGTACTCATCGCATGTCATTATCCATCCAGTCAACAGGACGGGGATAGTGAAAAACTTCTAGATATTCATTTTTGTTCGTCGAGAGCGTTCGTAACTTTACCATATTGCAGTAAAGGACTACTAACAATTCCAAAGGATTTTGTAGGTTGAAATGAGAAAAAAAAGGTTCCTCTAAAAACATGTTTTTTCGAACAAATTTTATTTATTTAAAAAAAAAGAATAATTTTTTTGTATTTAGTACCGGCCATAGAGAGAGATTTTAGGAGTAAAATGCCGTTTAGGTCATGTTGATAAGTTCAAAAGGTTCTATATGAGAGTGTCACCCGATTGAAAAAGAGTTGTTTCGAGAAAAAGGCGATTCAAGTTTTTTTTTTTTCGTGGGATTAACCGATTGGCGCGTTCCGCGATCCATTCTCCCCTCTTCCATACTAACTCTCTGGTATTGCGGATCTTAAGAACTAAGTCTTTATTATTTTTAATAGTGTTTTCTAACAATTTACAGGAAAAAACTTAGTTTTTTTTTCAAAGTTTTTAGAGGAACCTAACCTTAACAGCTCTGACAAAAATCATTAAAGTTATATCCAATCTCACCGTGAAGTTCCATAAAACAGTCTACTGTTCTTTCACCGGCTCAGGAAGATTATATTACATGACGTTCCAGCGTCCAACACAGACCATAACTGCCCGTTCATGTTGTATCTCGCTTCATTAAACTTTTCCGTGTTTCGAAGGTCGGTTGCACAAAGTATTTTGTCGCTTGATATGTTAAAATATTGAGGTCCTCTTCTTACTTGCTCGTTCGCTCGTTCGCCGTAAAATTGACTAGGATGCCGCTACGTCCGGGTGCTCAGGTGGTGACTGTGTCACATTTTGTTCTTCTACGTTTTAACGCAACATTCCGTGATTGCAATAAATTCATAAATTCGGACTTTGAGTTGTCCATAACTATGACTCTCTGACTCAGAGCGTTTGTATATTCCTTATTCATTCCAGTCCTAGGCTCTTCCGGTGATGTAGTTCAGAAATTAATGTCATAAATATATTGTGAATGCTGCTAGGCTGCGTTGCCCGCAGTCTGATTGTGTTGCAGCTCGATTGAAAATTATCGTAAATATTTGCATAAAGAAAACTGAGGAGAGCTTCCAGGGCCTGGTAAAAAACCGTTGGTATAGCTACAGTAATGAAGACAACTGTCGAGCGCAGAAGTCTTTCCAGATTGCTGTAGAAAGTGCGGTGGCACCGTAGTGTATGGTGGGTAACCTTTTGTCAATTGCGTCGGTAGCGAGAGTCCTTCCCATGCCTTGTAGTAGAGAAGGTTTAACAGGGCGTGGTATGTGTTTCATAGTAAAAATGACGTGTGTTATGGACTAGAACACTTAATGGTTGGTTCTAGGTGTTCCGCAATCGCTTTTAGAAGCTGCTGCCATACCACAACTCGGGCAGTTCAGTATCCTAATTAGCGTATATATTCTAGCGAAAATAAAAATTCTTCTCGACAGGTGTCTCTGGGATTATTGCAGGTAATGCCGGCGCTGCCTGTCACAGAAGAAAGCCCACGAACTTTATAATGGGCTGTTTCTTGAAAAATTTATGCTTTAGCTACCAAAGAATATGGTTTAATGTCTCTTCTATATCGAAGGGATTATTGTATAGTGGAATAGCCGTAGCGTTTCCTCTCTTTCTTCGAACGTATTTTCCTACGGTAAAGTTCACCTACGAGTGTTGAATCCTGTTAAAGTAAAGCTTGAATACTGAGCCACATGCTTTTAAATTATAAAAAAAAGAGCAAAATAATAATAAAAATAAAATTTCTAATTTTTCTTTTTCATATTTTTACAGTTACATTTTACGCGATGTACGTCCACATATACCAAAAGGCTATGTCTACACATTACACGATATGGGTTTAGTTATTAACAAATTAATGGGCGGCGCGTATCGGTAAGTAATCCAAAATTTTTTAATAATAAAATGAGAGAACAAAATGAAACTTCTTTTTCGCATGGAATTTCATGTGCAGCTTTCCTTTTACAGTTACAGTTGGTAAACATGATTTTTTTTATTAATTTTACTTTATTTATTTTTTTGAAATTGTCCACCTTGAGAAAGAACTGTTATAGGGAACCCAACTATTTTTTTTAATATCTGTGGCGTAAAGAAACATTCAGAAATCGGTAGACCAAGCGCGTCGCAGTTCATTAAACTGGAGTGTATTCTGAATACTTTTGATTCTCTTTGGATACCCATGACAAATACTGGGTCCCTCAATTGGTGTGTAAAACTTGTGCTCAGGAAGCTTTGCGATTATGGACGAACAAAAAAAAAATACCCCATCAAAGCACAGTGATGTGATGGTAACCTTCAAATCATGGTCAAATGGTTTTACCCTAACTTCTCAGCTGTTACTCGATCAGTCACGCACTCTAGCGGTGCATCACTTACTTTATCTATTCAAAATTTTCACGAGTTAGAAGTAAATGAACAAATCTTTAAGTGATAAAAATGGGTTAGCTGATTTTAATCCCGACATCTCTTTTGAACCGCAGCCCTTGAAGCAGAAAGAGTTCAGTTCATTAATCTGAGACTTGGACTGTCTAAAAAGGCGTCGGAGATTCTAGCTTCTAGATTAAAGCAAATAATTCTTGCAACATCAGAAATAAGAATTTCAAGCTATTGTAATCGAGAGGCAGAATTGCCTTAATTTCTTTCTCAAGATGACGATGTTTACTTATTCAATATTACGGTTTTGCATTCAAACTCGAATGCTGTCATGGATATAATCAAGTACAGCGTACGCAGTTGGTTCATAGATACACATCTAAAAATGGTGCATTCTTCTTGGACAGCCAAGAGATCATAAAAAATGTGATTGCTTTGTTTGTCAAGAGCAGAGCTAAGTCGGTGCGCGCTGCAAAAGAAGATGGGGCTTCCAGACAATCTATGGTTGTGAGAAAACTATATGCATTAAGTGGTTATATGCACTTGCAAGACAAAATAAATACTTTTCTTTGTTAATTTTTTTACAGCCATTTTATTCTATAAATAAGTAAAAAAAAATATTATATTGGGTTGCCTCAAAATAAACCGCCGATTTTTTAAAAGAAAGTAAATAATTTTTTTTTATAACGAACTTTAATCAATTATGTAATTTCCATTTTGGTGGATGACCTTTCGCCATCTTTCCAGCAACTATTCTATTTCACGCTCATTGAACTTCTGGCCTTTATCTGAAAAAAAAAAACTAAACCAAGTGCGATTTTATAGCCTCGTCATTTTCAAAAGTTTTACTTCTGCAAAGATGGAAACAAATGGTAGTCTGACAGTGCAATATCAAGGCAAGGTGGTGGATGTATCAACCGTTCCCATCCAAGCGCTCTCAGTTTGTGACGAGTGATCTAAGTTGCGTGCGCTCTAGCATTGTCCTGGGGGAATATCACACCTTTACGATTGACCAGTTCTGGTAGCTTCTCGTTAATGGCTGTATTCAATTTGTTCAGTTGCTCACAGCAGACATTCGAATTAATCGTTTGGTTCCTTGGAGCAGCTCAAAATATACCACACCCTTCCAATTTCACCAAACTGACAGTATAATCTTCTTTGGTGATTATCAGCCTTTGAAGTGGCTTGTGGCGCTGCATCATGCTAGAATCACGATCGTTTTCGGTTGACGTTATTGTAAACAACCCTTTATTCAGCTCCAAATATGATTTGCTTTAAAAGCAGACAATATTCTTTGCGTTTAAGATGCATATCACAAGCGTTTAAACGGCTTGCTTAATGGATTTCTTTCAATTCATATGATACCAGTCAAATGCGTCGTATATGATTATGGACGGTTGGTTTTGTTAAATGTAACTACACTCCAACCTCAGGCTCTGTTGCATGAAGATTCGATTCGATTAAAGATTTGATGACGTCATAATCAACTGAGGGCGGCCCATCTTTGAGTGAAAAATCTACCGAACGAATTTTAAAGTTTTGCAAACCATTTACGGGACGTCCTTAATGATACGATCATATCTCCGAGACTGTTTGTCGGATCAAATAAAAAAAAAGTTGATTGTTTGAAAATTACAAGTAGATATAAAATCTCAAGCTAAACCCTTGCACTTAGTTATTGCAAAATACTGCCTTCTTTACATATAAAGAGAAACCTTAAACCTGAACGTTTTTGTACTAATTTAAAGGAATTGTATAATAACATATTTTTCTCAAAGTAAATGCCTCAAATTATTTAATTTTAGTTAAAAATTAAGCTACTAAGTACTCTCCCAACTTCCTCCATTTTTCTCTCTTCCTTTTTTGTCATTCCTCTTTTCCCTTTCCGCATTACTTTTAATTACTTTCCCTTCCGGTTGTTTGTTTACCCATTTGATGGGTTAATGGGTCAGCCTCGTTTGGCTTTAGCACATTTCAACCGTTAAAATGTGCTTGCATACATACATAAGTACACATATACATACATACACATTGTATATATTCATATGTATATACCCGCCCTCCCGTTCGGCGTCTTTATGGTGTGAATTGTACAACCGAAATACTTTGGTCTGTTTGGCTGGTCAACACTTATGAAAGTCCGTTTATACGTGTATGTAGGTGCGTATGTGCTTATACATATGTATATCGGTTGGGCATGAGTATGTGTGCATGTTAGCAGTTGCTTTTTCTATAAAGTGCGTTTGTGTTAATCTGAGTTGTTGACTTCGTGCTTCAGTGCATGGGATTAATTTAAAGGTCCCTTACGTGCACCAATGCACTCGAGGCCTACCGTATATTTGTGTATATATGTATGTGTTTATGTTTATGTATGTGTAGTTGTTGTATCGACCTTTGTGCGTGAAAATTCATCCTTGATAAGAAGGATATGCTTTAATGATGTAAATTCAAGTGCATTCCGTTGGATAGTAGCAAATGAAGCAAAATCATTTCGTACTGATGAAATTAAAGCCATACTTGTTGTTGGCGCTTAACAAAAATGTTTGAAATTTAATTTTCGCTTGGCAAAATTATTTGGGTCTACCGCACTTTAATCTCTGACTTATTTGATGTTTGAAATACGCTTGAGGCGAATTTTCGATTTAATGTAAATAATTTTAGGAATTACTAATTGAAGTGATTTGAAATGAATATTTCTTTTGATGCCAAGCGATAACAATTTTGACGATATTATTTTCGTATCTTTTGATATGAGTTTTTCTCATCTCGGTATTTTTACATTTTTTGCTTAGTAGTGCATGTGGATCGATTGAGGCATATTTTAAACATTAGAATAAGATATTAAAATCATTTACATAATCATGTGCGACACTCCATAAGAAGACACATTGTATCGTGTGCTCTGAGTCACTTGATAAATCGTCCAACTGCTTTCACCAGAGAACTCAAAGGCAGTATGTTATGCGGCTCATCTTGTCATTTTATATACCGGCAAACATCAAGCCGACTATCTATTCTAATACCCATGAGATCATCCGAAATCGCAGCTGATTTGGCTGAGAGATGAGGACTGCCAGCATCTCTAAAACTCTCCGCGTATCTTTCAGGTATGGAACATATTTAAAGCAAGGCCAGTAAAGCCACATAGAAACCATCCCCAATGAAATATTTTTACATGCCTCGGATGAGAGACTCCCTTATGATGTCGACACTCGCCAAAGTTGAAAGGAATCATAATTTGAGAGCATGCACCTTGAATTGGCGCTGCTCAGCTGGTTGCTGTCCTCGCTGAACAAAACGCTGACATCACCGTCGTCCAAGAAGTGTGATGGACGGGACAAGGACGGCAATTAAAAATCCTTGTCACATCTACTAAAGCGGATATATAAAGGAGCGCAAATTTGGTGTCGGATTCCTGGTGGGAGAGAGTTGGTCGGCGCCGAGTACTGGAATTCAATCTCGCCTCAATCCGCATCCCAGCGTAATCACGCCCCGACGGAAGAGCAGATGCGTTCTCTGAGCGCCTAGAACAAACTTTCGAGCGCTACCACCGACCCGATGTGAAAATCGTGCTTGGCGAGAAAAAGAAGGTATCTTTGGTACGACTGTCGGAAGATTCAGCCTTCACAACGAACCAAAGATATATATGTAGACCTAGATTTCAGCAGAAAAAACTAAAAAGCAAAAAAAACCAAATCAATCGTGTTGTGATAGATGGAAGCTGTTTCCTGTGTTCTTGATATACGGACACTCCGAGGACCCAACAACGAAGATACGCACGCGCCTCTGTGTATCGAAGAACGCCCGCCAACAAACACAAAGAAAGTTCGACGTCGAAAAGCTGCAAATCCTGCTCCGGCTCTCTGACGTGACAGTGACATACATACGTCTGAGAAGTGGGAATCTCTTCGCTGAGTGGAGAGCAACTTTTCCTTCGCGAGAAGAAAATAATGAGCGCTAACAGCCAAAATATTCACATCTGTGCTGACGGGCCGAAGTAAAAGGCGTATGGTTCTTCTGTAACTACTCCAAATACCACGTTAGCTTCATAACTCCGCGCAGAGATTCTAGGCATTACTGAAGGCATCCGCTTGAATGGGAAAATCTGTCTGGTTTCTGATTGACAGCTGTGCGGAAACAAAAAGTTAAATCGGTGGAAATGTTCGCAAAAGCATAGTAAGAATAAACGGAAGATCACAATGAGCTTACACAAAGACTTAAGTGCGACCGCTTGTAGTCAGGTTCTTAACGTTTCAGTTCAACAATGCTGTTCTGTTTCTGACAACAATATAACCTTTTGCCTATTGGAAAATATCCGGAGTTGGTTTGTTTTGTTTGAGTTGCAATAAAAGTGCAGTCGAAGTACATTGAGTGCTTGTGAAAGTTTACGATGAATATGCACCGACCGAAAAGTCATGGGTAACACAAAAACTTTAGAGATGGAAAATTGGAGGTTTTCGTACATCAAGGTAAGTGTCAACCAGGCGAATCCACTGATGTGA